ACCGTCAATCAACTGATGTACAGGTTCCTGAGCCTACTTGGCTCTAACGTGTCTACACTTGAAACTGTGTATGGAATCTGCTTCCACCACATCACTTCCTAATGCATTCCATTTGTCAACTACTCTGACACTAAAAAAACATTTCTAATGTCTCTATGGCTCATTTGGGCACTCAATTTCCACCTGTGTACCCTAGTGCGTGTGCCCCACTTGAGTTAAATAGTTTATGTTTATCTACCCTGTCAATTCCTTTGAGAATCTTGTATGTGTGAATCATGTCCCCTCTAACTCTTCTGTCCTCCAGCGACGAGAAGTTTAATTCCCGTAGTCTCTCCTCGTAGCCCATACCCGTCGGTTCGGATACAAGTCTGGTGGCAAACCTTTGAACCTCTTCCAGTTTAGTCTTAGGGGGCATATTCATGTAAATTAAAAGTGGTTCAATTTGCTTATAAATTTATGTATGAAATGGTTATAGAAAGGGCTGCAACTGGTCCAAGTTTCATCATCAAACCCTAAACAGAAAAGGAGAAAAAAAATACACAACGTATTATGCAACGAATGTTCAACATTCTCAAATAATCTCAGGGAACACATGTGTCAACTAAAATGTCTACTATGTGCTGTAGAAGCACAAACTCTTGTAATAATTGTATTATGTATGTGCAATATATATATATGCAATTTTTTTTTTTTTTTTTTTCATTTTTTTGACAATTTTTTTTCTCGTTTGTTATCAAGGGATTTGCATGAAACTTGCACACCGTGCTCAATGGATGCCTATCTGCAAGGGTGCCAATTATGAACGAAATCTGTCGAAGTCAAGCTCAGCTACAGGTGGCCGAACTTGGATCTTTATTTTACTCTGGAAAGTAATTTACAACTTCAAAGTACTTCAGAGCTTTCATTTAATAATCAATTTACATGCAAATTACACCTTATATGTAGAGTTTGTGCTTCTACAGCACATTGTAGACATTTTAGTCAAAAGTCCATTTGTTGATTTTATAAAAATTTATAAACATCATATATTGCATATTTTTGGAAGGGTAACTTTGAATAATTATATTATTGCACTAAACACTTTTTTGATAAAACTGATCACAACAATCCTTTATTATGTGCTAAATGTAATATCTGAGTGTTATAGAAAGGATTTTAGTTGCCACATGTGTTCCCTGAGAGTATTTGAAAATGTTGAAAATTCATTGCATAATACGTTGTGTATTTTTTTTCTCCTTTTCTGTTTAGGATGTGATAGTGAAACTTGGACCAGTTGCAGCCCTTTCTATAACCATTTCATAGATAAATGTATAAGCAAATTGAATCACTTTTAATTATACATGAATATGCCCCCTTATGCTTGACTAGGTATGGACTCCATGCTGGAGCTGCATACTCCAGGTTTGTATTGCATGCTCCAGATACCTTGTATCTGGCAGGTTTGGATACAAGTCTGGTGGCAAACCTTTGAACCTCTTCCAGTTTAGTCTTATGCTTGACTAGGTATGGACTCCATGCTGGAGCTGCATACTCCAGGATTGGTTTGACATATATTGTATACAAAGTTCTGAACGATCCCTAAAACAAGTTTCTAAAGGCCGTTAATATGTTGGCCAGCCTGGCATATGGCGCTGATGTTATCCTCTTGATATGGGATTTAGGGGACAGGTCTGACGTGATATCAACCCCCAGGTCTTTCTCTCTCTTTGATTCTTGCAGAATTTCATCTCCCAAATGATACCTTGTATCTGGCCTCCTGCTTCCTACACCTATCTTCATTACATTACATTTGCTTGGGTTAAACTCTAACAACTATTTGTTGGACATTCCTTCAATTGGTCCAGGTCTTCTTGAAGCCTCAAGCTGTCCTCCGCTGTCTTAATCCTTCTCATAATTTTGGTATCGTCTGCAAACATTGAGAGGAATGAGTCTATCTCTTCTTGGAGATCATTTTCGTATATCAGAAAAGGATATGTCCAAGTACAGAGCCCTGTGGGACTCCACTGGTGACTGCACGCCATTGTGAGGCCTCACTCTTCACTGTAACTCTCGACTTCCTATGGCTTAGGTACTCTCTTATCCACTGGAGCACCCTACAAGTTACTCCGGCCTGTTTCTCCAACTTATGCACCAGCCTCTTATGGGATACTTTGTCAAAGGCTTTCCGACAGTCCAAGAAAATGCAGTCCGCCCATCCTTTTCACTTTGTCACCTGATCGTGGAGTTCTGTTAAGGCAGTGAGGCAAGGTTTACCCTCCCTACACCGATGTTTGTGGTTTGTCACGAAGTCCCTTCTCTCCAGACGTGTTACTTGTTTTTTTCTTACGATCTTTTACATCACCTTTCATGTATCCAAGTTACAGACACTGTAGTTCAGTGCCTATTGTCTGTCACCCTTTCTGTATTTTTGGACAACGTTAGCCATCTTCTATATTTCTGGTAGGTCTCCCGTCTCCAGTGACCTACTATACACTATGGAGAGTGGCAAGCAAAGTGTTTATGCACACTCTTTCAATACCCATGGTAAAATTCAATCCAGACCAATAGCTTTTCTCGCGTCGAGATCCAACAGATGCCTCTTGACCTCATCTCTAGTAATTTCGAACCCTTCCAAGGCCGCTTGGTGTACTGCCACCTTTCCTAGCGCAGTTACTTCACCTCGTTCTATTGTGAAGACCTCCTGGAACCTCTTATTGATTTCTTCACACACCTCTCTGTCATTCTCTGTGTACCTGTCCTCACCCATTCTTAGTTTCTTCACCTGTTCTTTCACAGTTGTTTTCCTTCTGGTGTGACTGTGGAGTAGCTTTGGTTTGGTCTTGGCTTTATTTGCTATGTAATTTTCATACTTTTTCTTGCTTTTTATCTCAACTAACATACTCATTCCTGGTTCTCTGGTATCTCTCACTGCATTCTGGTGTTTTGTTCCGAAAGTTAATACACGCCCATTTGTTCAGTTCCTTTGCTTCCATACATGCCCTATTAAACCACAGATTCTTCCTTTGCTTCACGGCTTTTTCCTTCTCGGTCAGGATAAACATATTTACTGCCTCCTGAATCTTTTGGGTGCCATAATCAATCATGTCCTGAACGGACTTAGTTCTGTGTTTTGTGTCCCATGGTATATCCCTTAGGAATTTTCTCATCTCCTCATAATATCCTTTTTGGTGCGCCAGCCCTTTGTTTCCTAGTTCTTTTTTGGGAAGACAAATTCTAGCTCTACCAGGTACTCAAAGATCAATACACTGTGATCACTCATTCCCATGTGGGCTTCCAACTTAACTTTCCTTATATCCGACTCATTTAGGGTAAATATCAGATCAAGCATGACTGGTTCATCTTTTCTCAGTCTTGTCAGCCCCTTGATGTGTTGGCTTAGAAAGTTTCTTGTTGCCACGTCCAGCAGTTTAGCTCTCCACATGTCTGGTTCTCCATGTGGGTCTGTGTTCACCCAATCTATCTTCCCATGGTTGAAGTCTCCCACGATTAGCAATCTAGATCCATTCCTGCTAGCGACAGAAGCTGCTCTCTCTCTAATATGTTAATGGTGGCCATGTTATTTCTATCATATTCCTGTCTGGATCTTCTGTCATTTGGTGGGGGGGGGGGTAATATATGACTACTACTATAATTTTTTGTCCTCCAATTGCTGTGGTACCTGTTATTTGGTCACTGAAACCTTCACAGCCCTGTATAACCATCTCCTCAAGACTCCAGCATTTTCCTATCAGCAGAGCTACACCACCTCCTCCTCTTCCTTCTCTCTCTTTCCTCACTACAAACTAGTCATGCAGAAACACTGCATTTGTTATGGTTTTCGTTAGCTTTGTTTCTGTGATTGCTATTATGTCTGGGTTTTCATCTAATGCCCATTCACCAAGTTCACTTGTTTTATTTGTAATCCCATCTATGTTAGTGTACATTGCTTGAAGCTCACTTTTTTCTGTTTATTTTCATGTCCTCTTCTTGGTGAGTGTTCTGTGTATATGTTTATCTGTGTTTGTGCATGTATGTTTAACAGTGTCTGTGTGTATATTTTTAACTGGGTCTGTGTTTAGATGTGTATGTATGTTTAACTGTTTCAAGTGTACCCACGAATTCCATTTACGGAATACCAAATTCTACAAAGAAAACATTATTCAAGATACATTTTTTATAATTTAAAACAACGATTTCAATTACGTTACAATTTTAACTTGAGAATATTCTGTTTTCAAGAAAGGTTCATATGCCAGTTTACATGAAGATTATTACCGTAATATGCTTCAGACAATAACAAATATTTAGATAACCATCCAGGTTGTTAGAGCATGGGGGGGGGGGGGGATTCTAATGGTACTGGATTTGATCTGAGGACGGGCTGCATAACCTGTCCTCGGGGAGATCTGCTCAACGGAATGGATTTGGGACGACTATACATAATTTGTGCTATTATCTGCCCTCTATCAATGATTAGATTAAGGCCAAGGTTACTTTAGGTTAAGGTTTGGTTAGGTTAGGCAAAGTTTCATTACGTGTGGTTACATTAATACGAGATATTATTGACGATAATGTTAAATATAAAAATAGAAAACTAATTATGTACCCCTCGAATTTCGTTTACAGAAAATCAAATTCTTCAAAGAAAATGTTTCCAGCATTCATGCTTTATATTTTAAACCAACTATTTCTATTATATTAAAATTATAATTTGAGAATAATATCTGTTGATAAGGGTTTATGAACTTGCAAATGATGCAGGTTCGTTTGTCAGTTTACATGAAGGCTGTGTAACTACACCCACTTACATGAGAGGGGTGTAGTTGTTCTTGACAATGGATTTGGCCGCTGGATGGGCGCGCTGCATTTAATTTGGTTAGGTTTAAAGGAAGCTCTCACACATATGGAACAATAAGCCTCTTACAATTTTGACTATTCTATTGTTCTTATGTAATTGCTATTTTAAGACCCTTTTCTAAATTACGGAGCATTTATGTTGTATTTCAAACTTTCTTCCACAGATATCGGAAACAGTACAGGAATGAGAAAGTATCCGCTCACTGTCCAGTTCAATGCCGCCCCCAGCAACACCAGGACTGGTTGTTATGCTGATTGTCTCACAATGTCTACATCCCCAGTAAAGTTCTATTTGAGCTGTTTTTCATTATTAATTAAGTCGTTTTGGTCTAATAGTAGGTTATGAGTTAAAGTTTTTGGTTATGGTCAACTGGATTTTCTCCTCTGGATATAATGTCCTTCATAATGTCTTCATCTGTCATGTATTTGGCGCTCATGATGAATTTATAATATAAATTGAGAGGTGGGGGCTTCTGGTGTGGTGGGTTAGAGTTATATCATTTATCTAGATAATTTTTACTATAGGCCCTCACTTCTTTCTTTATCTATAGTTTATTGGGTCTTGCACACTTCTCTCCAGTTCTTAATGCACTGCGTGACAGTTTGTGCAGTGGGTGAGAAGTCTTCATATGTATGAGCTCATCACTGAGGCCGTCCACACACATTCCCATGATTGTTCGTGTCGTGTAGACTTCAGTGGTGAAGAAGGCGTCTCTGGTCTTGACGTATACGTCGAGGGAAGGGAATGCACCGTCGATACCAAGTTCTTGTGTGAACTGAAGTACTGAGGCTCAGTAAGTGATCGCTTAATCTGTTCAAGCTCTTGAAGATCCTTGACACTGATGAAAATGTCATCAATATACCAAAAGCCAACACGAAACCAACAAACTTGTAATTTAAACTGTATAGAATATAAAAAAAATTGGAGCATGTTACAATTATTAATATATTTTCCTTTTATTCATAAAATAAATTCTTAGAGATGTGAAAGTAGTTTGAATAACATTTCTCATCAATAATATCTAATTTTACTTGTTTATTATTAATCTAATAATTCGACTGTTCTATAACATTAATAAAAGTATTACGACCATCACCGTCCAAGTTGACTGCCTTCCCAGGCGGGTCCAATAGCCAGGGGTGAGGAACAATAGCCATATGTGAGAAACAATGGACAGGGGTGAGGAACAATGTCAAGGGGTGAGGCACATTACCCAGGGATGAGGGACAATGACCAGAGGTGAGGAACAATGCCCAAGGGTGAGGGACAATGGCCAGAGGTGAGGAACAATGGCCAAGGGTGAGGAATAATGACCAGGGGTGAGGATCATTTGCGAGGGGTGAGGAACAATGCCCAGGAGTGAGGAACAATGCCCAGGGGTGTGGGAAAGTCTGACTCAGAATATTAATAAAATAAATCATTCAATTCGATAGCTCTGAAGGACCACCCTTTTTGTATTAAAAAAGGGAAAATAATATTAAATGAATATATTGAAATAAATCCAGGAATCAGTGCCCATGGATCTTAAGAATTAATACGCTAAATTTCTACGACACTCAGCTATGACCTTACTATATAATAAAGATTTTTGTGTCACATCTTTATCCCAGATGTATTTAGTGCAATAATACAGATTTTTAAAAGTTTCCCAAAAACGTATGCAACAAAATGAAGTGTATCATTATTTATAAAATCAATAAATCTACGTAGATAAGAATAATGACATCAGTTTTTAGAGGCGTAAACTCTACATATAATGTGCAAGTTTCATGTAAATTGAATAATAAATAAAGGCTGTGAGACCAGATCTAGTTGTAAAATTTGGAGTTGCGTAGCGCGCGCGACAAGATACTCATACTCACGGTCACTCGTGACAATGCGTGATTTACGCATTGCGGCCAGCTCGTACCTTCTATGGAGAGCTCGCATGCATCTAGCTTTCAATGCTTTTCTCTTGTTCGTTTGGTAAGTCATATTGCAGTACAAATAGCAAAAATAGCATGAGTTCTGGGAGATATTGTGAGAGCGCGGCAGTGATACATCCACCCTCCAAGAGACACACACAGTGACTGAGGGCCTGAGCCACGTACCACCCTCTCTCTCTCACGATACTGTTGCCAATGAGTGAGTTTATATTCATTTTATGCATAACATGTTATTTTCAACGCTATTACAAAAAATAAGACTTCGACAACGTAAGATACAATACCCCGCGGCGCACTCACGCCGCGAGGACCAGATTCACGAAAGTTGCAGCGGGAAATTTGACTCTAATTACGTTATTTTTCAAGATATCATTAAACGGTTTGGACCACAGTGTTGCCAGAACGTTGTAGTATTTTTCGTAATTTTTCGTAAATATTCCATTTTTCTTCGGATTTTCGGTTACCATGGCTCCTAATGTGAGAACATTAAGAGGACTGTAGTTTATAATTAAATTAATGAGCCAAACTCGCACACACTCTTTAAAGGTTATAATAGTGCAAGGAAATTAATATATATTATTGCACAATGAAATAGATGTAAATTTCCATCAATACGCCATTTGGATATATTGAAAATATCTGTAAATATTAAATGGCAAATAAATGGTTAGTAAATATAGTGATCTTTTTATAGAAGATCAATAATAAACTAAGGGTTAGTAATGACTACTAAATACTATGACAGCTTGGCTTTATTAAGTGAGAGACGAAAACATCTGCTACCCAGCGTCACTGATAACTTGTTGCATCAGGAAATTTGGTTCACGTGAGCGAATCATCTTCTCACTTGATGTGGACACGGGAGCTGAAAGGCGGTTAGATTATAGAATTAGTCTACATAAGAATAACAGATATAATTTCCCAAATGAAATTGAGGAAACTGTTACATAAGAAACGAACTAGTTGATTGTTCTTCCTACAGCCTAACGACAACACTCCCATTTGTTTAATATCGTGACCAGTATAATGAAGCAAAATAAGGAACTTATGGTCGCCGAGCCGAGTGTCCGATGATTAACGAAACTGCTCTAATCCTCCGACTTCTGCTGCTGCTGGAAGGACGTAAATTATGGACTGGAAATAAGCAAGTTCCTGGACACTGCTTTTCTCTGCCAAAGTTAATATGGGGACTCTCCTCTCCTTTCTGTCTTGTCCCGTGCATGCGCAAAGCACGATGAATGGAAACAGAAAATTATTTTCCTAATAATTATTCCACAAGCTAGAAATTAAGGTTAGGGTTATTGTGGAGGATCTAATATTAATCGCATTCTCGTCGAATAATTATTGATATGAACAGAGTTCATATAGACGAGAAGTGGAGGGAGAATTTCATTACTCCATGTTACCTCTGGGATAACAGAGATTACTGTTAAATTTTATTTGATCACTGGTTGACATAGTGTCAGTTAATACTTCTTAGGAAAGAATACTGATGCGAAGAGAGAATAGAACTTAATTTTCTGTAATGTAGACGTTATCTTTCCCTCTGCTAAGTTGCTGGACGCAACCACGCCACGCAGTAGGAGAGATTTGGCGAATAATTGTATAGTAGGAAAGGTATTAATATGGTTTTTCTTCACGTTAGTAATAATAGTGAATTACTGTTATTAGTACAGGGATGATTTATTGAAGTACTAAAAATGATGAATAAGTGTTGGATATTTCCAACAAGCGGTGAGAACTTTACAATGGGTGAGGAACAATGGCCAGGGGGTGAGGATCAATGGCCAGGGGCGAGGAACAATGGCGTGGAATGAGGAACAATGGATAGGGGTGAAGAACAATGGTTAGGGGGTGAGGAACAATGTAAGGGGGTGAGGAACAATGGTCTGGAGTAAGGACGAATGGTCAGGGGTAAAGAACAAGGGCCTGGGGTGAGGAACAATGGCCAGTGGTGAGGAACAATGGTCAGGGGTGAAGAACAATGGTCAGGGGTGAAGAACAATAGCCAGGGGTGAGGGACAATGGTAAAGGGTTAGGAACAATTGCCAGAGATGAGGAATAATTGCACGGGGTGAGGAACAAAGGCCAAGGGTGCAGAACAACAGCCACGTGTCAGAAACAATGGCCAAAGGTTCATAACATGGGTCAGGGGTGATGAAAAATGACCAGGAGTGAGGATCCATGACCAGGGTTGAGGAACAATGGCCAGGGTTGAGGAACAATGGCCAGGGGTGAAGACCAATACATTAGATGAAGAACAATGACCAGGGGTGAATAACAATGACCAGGGTTGAAGAACAATGACCAGGGGTGAAGAACAATGACCAGGGGTGAAGAACAATGCCCAGGGGTGAAGACCAATACATTAGATGAAGAACAATGACCAGGGGTGAAGAACAATGACCAGGGGTGAAGACCAATACATTAGATGAAGAACAATGACCCGGGATGAATAACAATGACCCGGGATGAATAACAATGCCCAGGGTTGAAGAACAATGACCAGGGGTGAAGAACAATGACCAGGGGTGAAAACAATACATTAGGTGAAGAACAATGAACAGGGGTGAAGACCAATACATTAGATGAAGAACAATGACCCGGGATGAATAACAATGACCAGGGGTGAAGAACAATGACCAGGGGTGAAGAACAATGACCAGGGTTGATGAACAATGACCAGGGGTGAAAACAATACATTAGGTGAAGAACAATGAACAGGGGTGAAGAACAATGACTAGGGGAAAGGAACAATGACCAGGGGTGAAGAACAATGAATAGGGGTGAGGAACAATGACCAGGGGTGAAGAACAATGACTAGGGGTGAGGAACAATGACCAGGGGTGAAGAACAATGAGCAGGAGGAAAGGCCCATATTTACATAGTAAAATAACAACTTACTGTAGTGAACGATATGGATAGGAATGGGCCAGTGAAGACCAAAGGTGTCATAGGCACAATCAGAGAACACTGAATGAACATCACAGGCCCACGGTTGTTCAACATCCTCCCAGCAATTATACGAAATATTACCGGAACAACCGTGGACGTATTGAAGAGAAAACTGGATAGTTTTCTTCAAGATGTGCCGGACCAACCAGGCTGTGGTTGGTATGTGGGCCTGCGAGCCGCTCCAAGCAACAGCCTGGTGGACCAAGCTCTCACAAGTGAAGCCTGGCCGCAACCCGGGCTTGGGGAGTAGAACAATTCCCAGAATCCCAACAAAAGAAGGTAACCCCACCAAAGTAAGGCACAATGGTCAGGGATGAGGAACAACGGATGAAGAACTATGGCTATGGGTATGATGCAATGACCAGGGAAGAGGAACAATGCAATGGCCAGAGGTGAGTACCAATGGCCAGAGGTGAGTACCAATGGCCAAATGTGAAAAACAATAGCCAGGTGTGAGAAACAATGACTAGGTGTGAAGAACATGATAAAGCAGCAATATCAAGGTGTAAAGAACAATGACAATGAGGGTAAACAACAAGCTAGGGGTCAGGAACAATGGACATGGGTAAGGATCAATGGTCAGGTGGAAAAGCCCAATTACTAGGGGTGACAGAGTGGCCAGAGGTGAGGAACAATGAGCTGGGTGAAGAATAATGGCCAGAAAGGAAGAACAAAGGCCAGGTGGAGAGAAAAAATTGCCAGATCAGGGGAACAATGGCCAGGGCTGTGGATCAATGGTCATGTGTTAGGAACAAGGGTCAGTGGCCAAAAAAAGGCTAGGGGTGAAGAACAACTGCAAGGGGTGACAAACAACACCCAGGGGGGGGAACAATGATCATTGATAAGGAACAAGAGCCACTTGTGAAGAACAATGACCAGGGGTGAGAACATTAGATGAAGAAACAATGGCCAGGGTTGAAGAACAGTGGCCAGGGGAGAAGAACAATGAACAGGATGAGGAACAATGACCAGGGGTGAGGAACAATGGCCAGGGTTGAAGAACAGTGGCCAGGGGAGAAGAACAATTACCAGGGGTGAGGAACAATGGCCAGTGGTGAGGAACAATGGCCAGGG